AAAAAAAAAGGTAATATAAAAACCGTCATTCCCGTATCAATTTTGAAAAATAGAAGAAAGAGAAACAACTAATTTAATTACCCTGGCCTAACATAAAATACAAAGCCACTAGCCAGCTCATACAGTATACTTACCCCTTGCAAATTGTAATTTATTGAATTCACAGTAAACCCATCAATTTAAAAAAAACAAAGAATATTGTTCTCATGGATCTATTATTCATGTTAAACTAACTATGAAAATATAAATATGAAATAATATGTTAGCTTGAAGTCATATATAAGATGAAAATATATGTCCATGCATTTGCATTTTTCCAAAGGGAATACTGTATATTCCCATGTAAGTAAATACAGGTGCAATATATAATTTATATGTATATCTATGTCATCTGTACATCTATACATGCGCGTATAGTGATACATTTGAACAAGATGATGGTTCTGGAAAGAAATGAGCGTGGCAGATTTGCTAAAAAGCCACATACACCACAAAAGCAAGACCAATTTGTAAGTAAGTTCATTATTTTTAAGGGTACACTTCAAGTGAAAGCTACATTGCTACAGGGTGGCCTATCATTCTGAGACAAATGTATTATCCAACGATTGTGATTTTCGAAGCTAAAATATAATATCTTGAGCAGATGGAAATACATTCCCATGAGATATGTATATATAGTCAAAAGTGATAACTATTTATTGAGTGTAATGAAACAGATCCTTCGCCAACTGCTTTTGTTTGAGATAATTATCATGAAATATTTTTAAATTAATTTTTATGTGTGTCATTGATCCTAATCCACCCTGTAGTCTGGTGTTTGTAGAGCATTGCACCTCGTACAACTTATTCTCACAAATATCAAACCTCATTTACTAATTAATTTTTTATGTGAATATGAAGAGTCCAAGCATTGCTTTTTTATGTTTACTGTATAGCTATATTTAGCCTTGATATCCATGATTTTTTAAAACAAAATCTCACCTTTAGATTTCGAGCTATTCATGTTTACTCATTTTTCTAATTGGGAAACAATGCAAATCTCATTTTTTCAAAGGAAACAAATTGAAATTCTAAGACGGTGAAAAATCATTAAAAAATACATAGATTCAGAATACGACAAGCATTTTCCCTTATTCCTCTCCGTTAAGAAGTTTTGTAAGGTGTTGGATCCCTTTCATGAAGTTTTCAAATCAAGTACACGTTTTTCACAATTCTTGCGCGTTCTTTCTTTTAAAAAGAGTTTTTTACCCCAATATCGGCCAAATAACCGCTGTCGACACGTTACATTTTGAATAATTTTTCGTCTTTAAATGCACATAACTCGGACAATATTTGACTATTATACTTTATTTTCATCTTGATAAAGGTAGATGGAAGTGTTTTTTCAAAGGATGAATTCTAGTGAGCGTCCCATATTGTGACGTCATATAGTTTGAAAAATAGAATCTGTCGACAGCGACCTTTTTTGCTCATTTTTGTTACCTTCAACTTTTCAGGTGTACATTAAACAAAAAATACGAGACCAATTTTTAAAATATCATACATGATCATACACGAACAATAATTGGTTGTTTGACCACTTGCGATAATATGACTACATTCTTGTAATAAAATGTTGTAAATGGTAAAATACTATTATGTTCGCAATCATAAATTACCTAAATGTTCCGTACAACTTTGTTGAATCTGCTTGGCTCGTATTTGAAAAATCAAACAAAAACTGAAAAGAACTCTCGTGCAATTACACTAATTGAACACCGACATTTACAATAATCTATTTTTCGTCCGTATGCTTAGCATAACGGTCTGTGTCTTATAAAATGTATAAAAGTTTGAATCAAAATATTTACGTTTTTTGACCCCTTGTGGTGAAAGACATTTTTCGACCAGAAATCCTGAAGTTTTTTTCTGCAAATAGTATTTGAAAAAAATCAAGGCATATGCACCATCTTAAATATTGCTTCAAATGTTGCTGCGCTATAGTGTGCTACGGATCCTTCATATTCGGAAGTCATACCATGGACTATTACGATACATTACATGTACATGATTGCTCCACATATTTCGTCTAGCCACGGTGTGTGTGTCAGTCCGATAATTTAAGTGAAAACAGTAGATGATAGGTAACCACGTTCCACTTGTTTAGATAAACAAAGCGGATATTACATGTTTGACATGGAAACATATGATTCGGTTAATCAACCTGTACAAACAATATTTGTAAATGCAAATAAGGATAGCTCAAGCATTGAAGGTTCTATGTGCTGACGCTTCCGCCTTCGGTAGTATGCATCCCCCATAAATCCTCCATGGAATGTGCAAGAAAGGTACGCTACAACCTGAAGTGATAAAGAGCATGTTTGGTTTTACAATTAGAAATAAACAATCCAAACCGTTAATGTCACAATTTTTTAAAGAGAGATTTAATGTATACAGCTAGAATTCAACAATGACACCAGCCCTATGATATCAGGATACTCTTCATCGTTCTTAATCCTAGTTTGAGCCAGACTTTTTTCTTTTATATTCACCATTCATTTACAAATTGATAACCTATATTAATTGATAGTAGGCTGCTCATTTTGATAAAAACAACTAGTTTCAGTCAAAATAAACGCATTTCGAAATATCCATCATTCTATTTTTACTGCTGGCTCATATCAAATCAGGTGTTTTTAATAACAGGCAAGATTTGTCGATTTCATAACATGGACGATCTTATTACAGCCATTCCGATACTCATCATATCTTTCTGTTTTGCAACTAACAATTTTTAATTTTCAAGTGAACGATTTTTTATAAATATTTCTATTTAAAGATTACCAATACTAGATGCATTTCCAACCATTTTACCTGAAATGCATAATTATTCTTTGCATTTGTACGAGAGTTGTCCCAGAAGTAATGCATTTGTACTTTGAAGGATCAATAAGAGGAATCCATCGTAATTGCAAATCTTAGAGAGGCTTATATCGGAATCCTGATCCTCAATTTAACTTGTTGAATTGTCTTTTTCTTAACCCATGACGTCGATTCTTGAATATTCTCATTCTTTTTGTTGCCTTGCCAACTCGCACCTTTACTCAGTATGTCCACTTACCCGATCCACCTCAAGAATACTTGAATTTCAACTAGAAGTCAACATCTTTAACTTCCAATGCATCTATGATATAAGTTAGAGCAACTGAAACCTTGTAAATGAAGATTGGGTATCAAACGTAACATACCGATAGAAAATGAACCTTTAAGAGTCTAACAAGAAAACAAACTGCAGAATCCCGAATACTTCACACTGTATTAACACTTTCACAAACAAAAACCAATGTCCAACAACGCTATTGCATTGTATTGTATTGTCTTGAATATCTTTATTGCCCATATTTAAATGGAGATACAAGTTATTGTTTTTACAAAATAAGATATAAAATAACAACAACGCTGCTACAAAATTGAATGTTATTGTAAAGAAAAGGATTTGCTGGCATAATAGGTTAAGTGTACTTATACAATGAGGAGTCAAGATGGCGACATGTAGAGTCTTTCATTAGAAACACTATCTAGTAATAAAATAGCAATTGCTCATCAAGAAAAGCCACAAAGAGCGCAATTAATAAGATATCAAAATAACTAAGGCCTTTGTAAAATAGAACGGAGGATACAGAGCATACAGGGGAAACACAAAGCATAGCGTTCTTCTGGAAGAGAATAATGAAAACGTGAAATGAAGATACATGCGGAATAAGAATTCCAAAGGAAAATGCATTGCTCGATGAGAAATTATGTGATTCTATTGATATAGTTGAAGTATATACATGTTACAGAGAGGATATATAATTTAATTCATAATGACCATTGTATCCGAGATCTTGTAATTAACTCCATTTTGTATACAATTAATAGAATGTACCCTGGATATTCAGGGCTATATTCCTTACTAGGTTAAATTGAATATACCATGACGACTTGTTTTAATTTCTATAACTCGGAGAGGCCAGAATTGATCACTGAAATCGCTGTAACCTATATTAGTAATCTATTTATATCCATTACTTCTACCATCGTTGTATCATATGACCGGGATCATATAATATAATATTTTGTATATAAAGGTCGAAAACTGAAAAATGTTGAAGTGTCTGGAACCCACCCGAAGCGCATATTAGTAAAGCCACGATGACTTAATTGGGTAACGTAAGTATGGTATGCGAAGGTGTTGCGGATGAATTCAAGGAAATTACAAACCCTTGCTATACTGTGATTAAGTTAGTATATGTTTATACAATAGCCGTCTCTAGTGTGAAGTGAGCATCCTAGCTTTTTACTCGAGTACAACTGGTTATTAATGTCAATATCGATATCAGATCAAATCAAATGATACCCTTGTTATTTATTGTAATATATTTGTACAACGATAAATACAACCATGGGCTTTCAAGAGAGCGTGATACAACATATTCCATTGATGCAAATCATGTTTATATCAACGGTGTGACTGTATAATCAGTTGACACTGTAGGATGTTCAGCATGACAGTGAGTATTGTTTTCACTTAGTTAATAATCATTATTCACTACAGATTGAAATTATACTCTCTATATCTAGGTATTACCATTGCTATAATTTCATAAGCTTGAATTTGAGCGTTGGAATAGAGAACGGAATTAATTCTAACCAATCGTAATAAAAGCTAAAGTCACGTGACTATGCAAATGATTATAAGAGCAACGACACTAGATCTAGGATGAAGATCCTAGACTAGATTGAAAGCGATGCTGACACATCTGAAGAGGATTTAAGATAAGTCCCAGTGGTGATGACATTGAGAGAAAAACGGAATCCAAGGCAACTAGTGATACGCTAAGAAACGAGAGCTAGAGTTTATTCTATTAACTGTTCATTGATTATAAGAAATTATTAGAAATTGAGAGGTCTACATGTACTTAGTAATTAAAAGCGCGGTAATTAACCATTTGGAAGGATCCCCTTGAAATGCTAGTCAATATCATTCCTGGATAATAATGATGTCGGAGATACTAAACTGAACGGTAGGTGCGTTGAGATACAAGTTATTAGACTTAACTTAATGATCACAATAATATTTTATATGCTTTTTATTGACTATATATTAACTTAAGTTAATTATAATAGTACCTCGTAAGCTGTATATTCACACAATGAATTGTGATTTGTGCAATAATGTAAGTATTTAGATCAGCCTGTGAAGTTCTTAACTTTCAAAGATGGGTGATAAGGATTAGAATGTAATCACAGAATTGTTCATGATATCATTAGTAATAAAATCTATTCCAGTTTTAGGAATCGGCTTTGATTATTATTATCCATAGACACAAAAATCTAATTGAAATACACTTTCAGTAATCAAGTTAGATATTTTTCAATTCTCGGCAGCATTTGTTGATAAAAATCTATATTTAATTTACAAGTTATGGGCAGTTTTGACATTTCTGTTCTTTGTTACAGCAGTTGAATTGGATATTTAACATTTTTTCACATGAGCTATAGTTGACCTTTTATTCTAGTTCAATGAGGTTCGCATGATTTAGTTGTTTTGCTGTTTTAATAGTACAATAACGTCATTTCTAAGGGCGATATAGTGAAATATTGGACCAAGGGCCGAAGGCCCAAGGTCCAATATTTCACTATATCGCTCGCAGAAATGGCGTTATTAGTATTATTACCACCGTTAACAACCAGGACTGAAACAGTGTGTTCATTTTAAATATTTCATACCATAATACCAAACAACAGCTAAAAGCCAATTGTACGCAATTTCTTCTTTGCTTTCAAGCAATATCTGCTCATTGAAACGAATCGATCCATCAAAGTGTTGATAAAATCATTTTAGAGCTCTCGCTGTCTTTTGTGTACCTCTGTGCTGCAATATGATTAATGTCAAGTCAACCCCTATTATTTCTTTTTCATACCATGCTAGCATTAAAAAAGTAAGAGCTGTAAATTATTCCTCTTCATCTCCTTCTCCATGAAGGATACAATTTACAATTATAATAGAGAGGTTTTGCACAACGGAAAAGTACACATCTTCTTTCTAACATTAAGATACATCAGGCTCAAATGTGTGATTAACCTGGAATAAAATATCTCAAGTAGCCTTAAGACCGGATCATGTCCCTGTTCCTGCACCCGTTCCTGCACTACCGCCTCAGTTGATGGACATAATCAAAAAACCATCAAGTCGTGTCCCATTGTCGTATATGGTCTTGAATTGTTATAATAGTTCCTGATGAATGGAAAGGGAGTAATGGACATTGTTTCTTGACACGTAAGATCGCAATTTGGTATATTTGGGGTTTGTTATCCTGGTTAACTGGTAACTGGTTATAACTGGTAAAACTGGCTACAAGTGCTCTTAGATGTTTCAGTTTTTCTCCCTGTTTTTAACATTTCAGTCCTACCTTTCGGCACTTGTGCATACATATATGGATTGCTTTATTAAAAATAGAATTCAAATAATATTTCGATATTTAAAACTGTTCAAAGGAAAGTTTTGGTAACAACGGTAGAAGTAATATAAATCCATTTGTAAACAAATCTTGGCTTTCAAAAACAAGTTTTGGGGTTTCGGAGTATCTCTCTCTGGCAATCGAGAATCCATCCGGCGATAGTAAATGTAAACGTTCCTCAAATCCCAGTATATTTCTAACTCGAATAACATATTTTGTGCACTCATAGCATACTGTGTTCATCTTCATGGTATCCGGGGAATTCACGCTGACATATTTGATGAGCTAGCATAGCAGATTTTGCGAGAGGAATGTTAATAACGATATCGTGATTATCATTAAATATGTCAAAGGGCCTTTAAATCAATCATACATAAACATAGTGCTAATAACAAGTACATTAGCAATTGTTGTATTGGCATAAGGATGAGTTAAAAAGGTTTTTATCATGCTGTTCACCAATGTTCAAGCTGTTCATCATTACTATCTTCACCAATTGGGTCGACTTCTAGCCTTCTTGCACATTTGTTTATTTATTATCACCAAGCCAATTATTTTCTTTTTTATTTCAATAAAGCATAATAACATGTGTACATAGTTGTGGCCGTAACACCTACATAGTTATATAATTGACCACATTTAAAATCTTTACTCCCAAATTTTCGAGTGCTTGAAAGTTTAACACAGTATGATATTTTTAGTATCGTAAGGCTGAATATTTAGAGGTTATGTCACTATGACGTGAAATATGCCTGAGTTCTCCCAATATAGGCCGACCTTGGGAGGCTCTATATTTGGGCAAGAACGAAGGCATATTTCACGTCATAGTGACATAACTGATGTATTACATGCCTTTGTTCCCATGGTTACTTTGTATCAATGACGTGACGTCATGATATTATCATGGTTATTAAAGAAATCTAATATCAAAACGAGGTAAGCGGGCTATATCGGGGTAATCGGGCAATATCGGTGGATATAGCTCGCTAACTTTCCCATTGACTTCCATACAAATGCTTCGCTAGGTATGTAATACGTTGTGAATAATATGACTGTATTATCCTACACTTAGTGTGCTAAGTGTATAATATCATTAAAAAATAAATTTGATCTCTGTTCACAAAATGAATAACCGGAGGATATCGTAACGATATACTCCGGAAAACCAATATGCGGAGGACAATGGTTGATTTCCCGCCAAATTGACTCTATTTGGCATGAAATTCATTTTGCAATGATATTATACTTTTAGTACACTCCTTTTAAGTGTAGGATAATAAGAACATCCTATGATTTTTTCATAATATCATTTTAATCTACTCGGTGACAATAATAAACAATATATGCACTCGTTCGCTTTGCTCTCTCGTGCAGATATCAATATCACCTCGTAGATGAAAACGATATTCCTCAAAATCATAGGATATCCTATAATTCTTAAAGAATTAACATAATTTTTATGTATTATTTATTTACAAGGTCGCTTACTGAAGAAACTGTTGTAATTGGAAATAACTGCCGAAGATTGTCGAAGATTGCTGAAGATTACCGAAGATGACGTAGTGAGAACGTTCCGTGCAATCGGATTGATGAAGTAATCAACGCAAGACAAGCTTTCATCCAATTTCCTTTAAAGAAGATTAAAAATGGAAATACATCTTACAAAAACCAATGACAGCTTAACGCACCAACTTTACAACGTCACGGTGAATGACATGTATGCTCAACAGGCATTGCGAAGTCGTTTGGAACAGAATGAAACATACCTGCGTCTTTTGATTTTTGGAGGTATTTTGTGCTTCATTGCCGTACTTGCAAATATTATATCGATCTTTGCCATCAGACAGATACCAGGCAAAATGACCGCAAACCATTTGATGTTTGTAAATCTATCGGTGGCAGATGCATTTGCCGCCTTGATGTATTATTTGTGGATTGTAAGTATCGTCCTCATTAGCTGGAAAGAGAGTCATCTTCGCGTTATATTCTACATGACTTACTTGACTCATGCCGGGTATGTGCTATTCTACGTCGCCTCTAATCTTAGTCTCCTCATGTTTGCCATCTACCGCTATTTGGCTATCTACAGGCCGATTAGCTTCAGTGATGTCAGCAGCTTGTGTAAAATCTGTGGCTCTTTAACCGGAGTGTGGATTGTTTCCGTATTGATCGCATGGCCAGGAACATTTCCTTTGTTCGTAAGGCCACCACAACCGTGTATTTATACTGAGACTGCATCGCGAGGTATGACAACCAATCCAACAATTGTGTTGCATACATCAGCTGCTGATGACAAATTTATCGCTGCTAATAGTACTGAAAGAACACCAACAACTGTACAATTCGAGGAAGGCATTGGTTACTCTGATGTAAGAACGAACTGTGATAGTACACAAGAATTTGTGGAGTCTCCAGGGATGAGTTTTGAAAATCTGTATAACTACTGGAACTACATATGGCCTGGAGTAATGATTCTATCATTTTTGACCATCGTTGTGCTATACATCCTGGTTTCAAGATACCTCCATAGGCGCTCGGCAAGGTGGCGCAGCGAACGCAATATGGACGAAAACCTTTACGCCTTTATCACTACAGTTTTTCTTATGACGACACTTACCATATCTATCGTCCCATACTTTACCTACATGATGATACGATTCCACAATGTCCATGCTGACCAAATGATATTGATTAGAGTTTACTACAATTTCATCGTATATTTACCATGGATTAACTTTATCAGTGATCCTATCATATACGGTTACCGCACAAAGAATATCAGAGATGGGTATTTTAAGATAGCATATAACATGAGCTCTTGCTTTCGTTCGACCTTTCGTTACCGCACCGGACCGAGGACCAGCGTCAGCTATAGCAGGGCAAACGGGAGAAGCAGTTTCAGTACACGGTCGAGCATAACTGCCACGACGACAACGTTATAGATGACATTGATCCATTAAACAAATTCTGATTGTATATTTAAATGTGTATATATAAACGAATTTATTTTTGAATCTTCTATGGGAATATTTAGTAAATATTGTATATATATTATTACTCTCAGTATCTATACTTGATTTACTCTATGTAAATTAATCTCAATACCGAGCCAATCCTGATATAGTGCTACTGTAAAATTGCAATGTTTACAAATCCTTAATTCATGATGTAGATGTTTATGTACTGTAAATAGCTTCAAACCGACATCTAATATCAAAACAAGCATTATACATTAATGTTCCACAATAACGCTATCCTCTAATTTTGAAATGTTCTTTCTTAATCTCATCGTACCTTTATCAACTAACACCCCAGTCACATTTGTCGCACGGCGGCCGCAAGTCGACCGCAGAACAATTAAATCGGTGAATTTCTGCGGCGAGCGTAGAAAAACTACGCTCGCCTTGCGGCCTCCGTGCGGCGAATGCAGATTTTTACAGGCCGCAGGGAAGGCGTAGAAATTATAACTCGGAGTTATAATATTTGTTCATTTCTGAGGTCCCCGTAGAAATCAACTGGCTCAACAAGATTGAATCATTATTTGTCAATGTTTCACGATCACTTTTCATTTGATATTACATCCTAGCACTATGAATAACATTTATAAATTGTCCTGATGTAAATAAAATGAAAAAAACTATTATTTATCAATAGAAATTTAAAATTCACCGTGCGGCTGCCGTGGGAAATGTGACTGCAAAAGTATGAGAGCGCAGAAATTCTGCGGCGAGCGTAGAAAAGCAACTGGCCGCAGAAATGATAGACCGCAAGGTCGCCGTAGGAAATGTGACTGGGGTGTTAAGAGTGTCCAATGCCAGACAAGTTGGAAATAGTATTATAGACTTTGATTGTTAGAGTAATTACCTGTTCCGTCTTGGCATGCTGTCATACAAAATTGTCAAAAATCTCTAAGAATTACTTTTTTCTGAATCTTGGATTCCTCTCTGCCATTTTGGTTATTTTTTGATTACTTTTTAATGCACATTATCAATAAATGCATTGATTAATACAATCTGGATCAGAAACGTCTTGTCAAAGATGAACAACGTCAGATATGTAAACTTGCATGTGTCAGTGATGTGTCACAAGAAAATGCCCAAATGGAAACATATGGTTCTCAAAATCTCATAAAGTCGCCATGTATGTACACGGTACATACTTGTGCATTGGTCAATGCTTAAACATCTGGTAACTCTTTTTTGATCTTAGACTTGTATTCTCATTACGAAAGTGTAACTTTAAACAAACCCTTAACCTGTCATCTTGCCAAAAAAATTTTGTTTACACTCTGCCCGATTACGCTCTCGTGATCCAACATGCCATTTCCGGTTGAAATTTTAGGCAAAACTTTTCGAATAATTTTCCCCAAATCTAGCAATATTCAAGAAAACATGACAGAAATAAATGATCAAAGGTATGTATAAGTTGACGTTTGCTTTAAACACGCACTGCAGGAAGCTATTGTTGTTCTGATTGTAAATATCTACCTTTTTCGAAAAACTGAATTTTTTTTTTTGGGTTCGTTTTTGATTTGTTCACTTTTGTTTTCTCAAGTCAATGAGTCAGTTGACTCTATACATGTATGTATGGGCTATTGCCAGTTAGGAATAATGTGTGTTTTTGCAACGTAAAAAACCTTCTTGCATACTGAGACATAACGTTACTGTTGTTATAGTGTAAATGTTGCTCATGACGTTAGACTACATCTATGAGGTTTTACAGTATGTGAATTGTTAGATCTAAACAGATGTAGTAACTGATGATGATGAGTTCAGGATGATGATGTTGACGATACATGTAAATAATTGATCTACTTAACATACTTTATTATACAAAAGTAACTTGATGTGCTCAACTATTGTTTATTTATCAAGACTATTTGAATGCCTATTTGTATTAAATATGTGAGAGCTGGCTTTTTTACCTCCAACTACCTGTTTAACACAAATGAAATTCTCATATCTGCAATTACCTCTATTTAGGTTACTATCAAGTAGAATGACTAGGAGTGCATTCCGTACTGCTGCTGCTGCTGCTGCCTATCGGGTCATGGGGCCACATCTCATCTTTGATGGGGGATAGTCTTACACAATGGAGGTCAGCCATAGGGTGTTTCAACCAACTATCTAGTACTAAAACTAGTATGGGTAAAGGTGGTACAAATACAAACCCAACTAAACAATCCTCTATTCTGATCTATATTCTTAAGATACTCGCAGTAAATGCTCTACTGGTTTACATGCCTCATGCTTATCTGAACTTCCTGTATTTGATTCTCTGTATGTGCCTCCTAATGTCTTGTGTAGTCATTAATATACTGCTATTGTTCATGATTATTCCTTACTGTATAGCACTCAGACTGTACGAGCTGAACAAAAGCACTGTCAATCCAAGACTTCTTTTGAGCATATTAGCTGTTTGCAGCATTTCACTTCTATTTCCAGGCCTGAGTGTCAGCTTCTTCCTACCAGACATTAACGAACTTCAGCTACTACTCTCAAATGATGTTCATCCTAATCCGGGCCCAGATGGTACCACCAAAGGTCAAATAAATATCTTATTTTCCAATATAAACAGTATTAGTGCAGAAAATGGAGCCAGATTTGATGCACTAAATTTCCAAATTAAAGATAAGAAAATTGATATCATAGGAATTTGTGAAGCCGGCAACTTAAATGAGACAAAAATAAATGAAAAATTTCTTATTCCGGGGTTCCTTAACCCCATTTATTCAAAATTAGGCAGAGGCCTTATGATTTATTCACATGAAGATATAATATGTACTGATAGACCTGATCTATGTATAGATGGGCTTGACTGTATCTGGGCAGAATTAAAAATTAAGCACAGAAAACTTCTTTATGGAGTATTCTACAGGTCACCATCTCAGACAACCACAGAGCGTGATAATTTTGTTAAACTATTTGATCTTAACTTACAACAGGCAAATAACGGTAATTTTGACGGTGTTATAATAAATGGTGATTTCAATTCCAAATGTAAATCTTGGTATATTGATGGAGATGAGGACATAAATGGAAGACTACTTAACGATATATTTTTTCAAAATGGATTTGACCAGTTAATTAAAGAACCAACAAGAATAACCAGTAATTCAGCAACATGCATTGATCTAACAGTAACAAATATCCCTGGTCTAATTAATCACTCAACTGTCACTGAACCAATTGGATTATCTGACCACAGTACCATCATATCTCAACTTGACATTCATATTTATAAAGGGGATCCAGAATACAAATTAATATGGAAATATAATCTTGCGAACAAAGAAGCCCTCAACTATGAAATATCACATACTGATTGGATTAACTTTTTTAATGAAAATCATGACATCCATTCCATGACAAAAAATTTCACAGATAAAATTCTTTCAATCTTTAAACAGCATATTCCAAATAAATTAAAACGAATTAAAGCTAATGATAAAGCCTGGTACTCTGATGAAATAGCCCATGTTTTGCAGCAAAAAAGATCACTTTATTGTAAATTGAAAAAAAATCCATCTGCTGAAAATTATAATGCATATAAAGAGCACTCTGTAACTACAAAGAATATTATATTGCAAACAAGAGATAGCTACTATCAGACTCAAATAGACTATTTAAATGGGCAAACGAATGCTGGCAGACCTTTTTGGGATCTTGTTAAGAAGCTACTTGGAAAATGTTTTAACTCATCTATCCCCACAATTGAAAATATCCAAACAAGAAAGACATGTATATCAAACCAAGAAAAAGCTGATGAGTTCCTCAAGTACTTTGTTAATATGTATCATTCCACTTCACCTACAAATGAACAGCCTCCACAATTCCCCTCCAGATGTGATCTGAAACTTGATTCAGTTGAATGTGAATCAAATGAAATCCTATTAATAATAAAAAATCTTGATCCATCCAAGGCAAGTGGACCAGATGGTATCACAATCAAAATGATCCAAATGTGCCCTGATTCAATTGTAGTCCCACTTTGTATTTTATTCAATAAGATTTTAGGAAAACATACTTTTCCAGATATATGGAAACTGGGCGATATTTGCCCTATCTTCAAAAAAATAGTAAGAATGACATCAAGAATTACCGACCAATTTCACTTTTGTCGATAATATCAAAAATTCTTGAAAGGGTTGTTTATAATCGAATGTACGCTCACTTTGACCAAAATAATTTACTTTACAAATACCAGTCTGGTTTTCTTAAAGGGCACAGTAATGAAATTCAGCTTTTAGCCATTCAAAATCTTTTATGGACCAATTTTAGCAATAACTTCGACACTAGAGCAAATTTCCTTGACATTTCGGCTGCGTTCGACAAGGTTCCGCATAACTTGCTTATTCATAAACTTAAATCTTATGGTATCTCAGGAAATCTCTTAAAATTTATCGAATCATATTTAACTAATAGAAAAGTTAGGGTTACTATTAACGGATCATCCTCTTCAGCATCACCAGACAACTACATAAACACCTCAGTCCCTCAAGGAAGTATCCTCGGACCTTTGCTCTTCCTGATTTATATCAATGATCTCCCAGACAACCTGACCTCAAAATGTTTTATTTACGCTGACGATACATCTATTTTTGTCCCATGTACTCCAAATGATAGAGAATCTCATCAACTGCTACAAAATGACCTGAAGACCATTGAACAGTGGTCTAAATCCTGGAAGTTAGATTTCAAACCTGAAAAAAGTAAAGAAGTCATTTTTTCTAAGAAAAACACCCATAATTATGAACAAGTCTTTTTGAATGATCAGCCAATATCTAGGCATAATCAGCATAAACATCTAGGCTTCTACTTTGACAGTAAACTCAGCGGCTCTGAACATATAAACTATCTTGTTGACAAAATTCAAAAAGCTCTAAATCCAATGAAACCACTCAAAAGCAAACTTAAATCTAAACAGCTCAACATCATGTACAATTCTTATATCCAATCACTTTTCGATTACTGTGACATACTCTATCACTGTGCAACACAGGCCAATCTAAAGAGACTGGACAAGCTCCAATACCAAGCTTCATTGATTGTCTCTGGTTGCTTACCAGGATCTAATGCAAAGAAAGTCCTTGATTTGCTAAACTGGTCAAGTCTAAATGAAAGAAGAATTTTTCATTTCAAAAAGCAAATGTATAATATATTTAATCAAAATACTCCATCATACATTAGCGACATATTTCATCCTTTTAAAAAGATAAACAATAGAATGTTGCGAGGTACACTGGACTATAGTATACCAATCACAATGCCAAGGAAATCACCTGTTTATAATATGATGAATATATGGAATAAAATTCCAAGAGAGCTAAAATCATTACCAAGTATAGCATCATTCAAGTACAACTTGAAAAAATTACTCTTCCAAGGCACAATCTCAACAATGACCTTAAAACTCTCAAGAAAACAAGAAATTTTTCTAAATCGTGCCAGATCAGATCTCATTCTCAAATCACAACTCAAGGCCCACAACTGGACAACTGTTGACTCTCCAAACTGCGAATGCGGAGCCCCTGAGACTTTCCGCCATTTGTTTTTTAAATGCCCATTGAAAACTGAACAAATTCTTAAATTTAATAGAGATATTGAACTAATCACTGGAAACCAATCTCAGTTTAGGACCCAAATGGACAAAATAAATCTTTACTTATTTGCTCACCCTTCACTTACTCAGGAACAAATTGACAATCTTTTATCAGTGGTGAGCCTATATCTCATTGAGCATGCATAGTTACATGTAGTTGGAAGCTGGTCTACTTTTGTTCTCAGCCCTACCACTCCTTATCTCTACTGCTTTTCTCCCCTTGTTTCATTCTCTTATATTATACTGTAGCACCATGAAGTCTTCTTTGTGCCACATAGAAAGTACAGATCAGCCATTTAGCCATGGGAGACTATGGCGTGAACCTCTTTTCCCTACTCATACTACTATATCTTTGTTTCCAGGACCCTATAGGCAGAGGCAGCAGCCCCCCCCCACACTCCAATTAAAATGCAGATGCTTTCTTTTCTATTTTTTTCTAATAATATAATTGTGTATTAAAACCATGTTTACAAATTGTAATTACTACATTGAGGGACACCTATAATGCCACTGGCGATTGGGTCCCTCATGTATGATATGTACTTTTAATGATTAATGGCAATAAATTCTCTTGATGAAAAAAAAAAAAAATGTACACTAGATTCCACGCATTGAAAAAGCTAACAAATCTACAAAGAAAACTTATTGAAGTTTTTACCATGTTTGAAGAAGTTATTCCAAAATTAGAAGGTAGCGTTTTTGTGTCAATCTCCAGTAAGCGATCTAAACACAGTTACACATACACGCATAAGCATTCACTAGCTGCGCCTTGCGTGATTGCGTGGATGGATAGAGTACCTATATCAGAATGATCGGACAAAAAAGCTAACTAGCTACTTAGGATCTACATGTATATCCTTGTATGATATGAAAATCAGCAATACTGAACGACCCAAAGTGGGGAGGGTCGCCAGCATTTTGTTGATAAATATACCATGTAACACTTGGTGTCTTGAATTGGACTTTCAGATTTCCTCTATTCAATTTCTGAAACTTGCGTGAATGTCTAGTATGAAGTAATTAATAATCGAATATTTTAATTGATATGTTTTTTTCCACAATACACTATCACCACACAGCTATTTGTGACATGAATTAAACAGATTCCTGTATACCATGATATAAGGGAGGTTATAAGATAGCATTAGGGAGTTTAAGCTTGCAATGTTTTTTACAACCTAAACGTGAACGGAAAATATTTAAGCGATGCATTTGTATGAGCGATTGGCCATGTGTATAGGTTGGCGTTTCGATTTTATATGCAAGCTTAAACTTTTCAAAGAACGTGAGCGTGAAAGATGTAAACTTATTGCCAAATCTAAACTGTGTTCACATCACTGGCGTATGAAGGTGAAATAGGTGATAGGTGTAAAACAACTCCTGGGGTCATAGTATTACAAGTTTACGTTCAGGTTCTTCTAAACGCATGTAGCTTAACATCTTTCTCATATTCCAAAGTAATACAGGTGTATCACATGTTCCTTGATTTACTGGAACCAAAATGGCGCATTTGGTATTTGACTATCCAAGTTATGTGTTATTATGTTCATTTAAATAGGGGATCATTGAAAACATGCAGAATTATATACCGATATGTGCTAAGGACGTGCATCACTTACCATTACGTGCAATATAATTATATATTTAATATATAACAACAATATAGATAAAAAGAACGTGTTGCTTGAATTATACTGTATTAACCATAATGGGTGATTTGATGAGCAGGAACGTTATTTAGGGTGCTTTAGATCACTTTAATTGCTCCAGAATGGCCGGAAAAGTAGCATTTTATTCTATTCTATAAGACTCGTCTGACATAAAGACTTGATAGGGATCAATTGCATCGCGTGTTTCCAGTTGCACATTAATTCTGTTAGGAATAGCAAACAAGTTCTTTAACCGATTACTTTATCCATTCATTAATGTAAATTCACCATCACTATTCTACAGCAGACAAGTTTTAAGGCCGCGGAATTCGTTATACCATGTCGCTTAGCTCTAAAATGGCCTTTATAAAACCAAAATAGTTGATCAATCATTTTTAAAGTAACTTTTTCATTCATTTTTGGATCTACGCCACACCATTTTGCATCGAAAGATGCGCGAATATATATTGCAGACTATGATTTCAAATAGATGAATGCTTCGCATAGTGGTCTGCATTTATTTTTATGGGTTTGAAAAATCCCCATTCAAATGTATCGAGGTCATGAATTTTATGTACTGGATAAAGCATAAGAATGAGATTTTATAAGAAATAATACACCGAAGGCCGAAGGCCTGAGGTTATTATTTCTTATCAAATCGAATTCGAATGCTTTATCTTACTTAAATCACACACATTCTTATTACAGGTAAATGGTATATTGCAGGTAAATGGTCAATGATCTAATCTGGAAAATTTTATTTCTTTTGTGTTGACTGTTCATGTAGGGGTAGGTGGTTTGATACATGTAAGTAAGTGAGTTCTTTTGAGTTGACTGTTCATGTAGTTATATAGCCAATTAATTGTAACAACAAAAAGAGTTGGTTGCATTGACCTCATGAGTGTGAGTTGATGTAAGTGACTGAGTGGGCTATAATATTAGTCTAGCTTCAGTGCACTACAGGTGACTGTCCAGTCCAGAACATTGCATTTGAATACAGCAGAATATTTGTAAGTAAGATAAGATCAATGATGTAGATAGCAACAAAAATTGATAAATTGTTTTATTCTAAAGAATGCACAGTAACAAGAGAAGGGTATATGTATTTTTGTATATTGTTTTTAGGGAATGAAAACTATCAAAAACTGTCAATGGTCATTTATGTCTCACTTGTTTTTGATAGCTTGCCAAGTGTACATTCTTTAAAAACAATAGAAAAATAATGCACTTTCCTTTTGATAAAACCATACATTCTTAAAAATAAACCACAGCAAATTCTATTGTGTTGCTACCCAAGTGGGATTTAAAATTGAATAAATCTCGTCAGCTACTTGCGTGATCTATTTTATAACATGTCCATTCGCTTGCTTGAGACAACTTCTCGGTTAAGATCTGTCACACTCTGTGCATTCTTTTGGGAAGGAAGATTAACTCAAAGTACCGCTACTGTAATTCAGTTTGATAGGCAGTCGGTCCTCATAAGGAAGATGCTGAAAACGTATCTTCAAACCACTTTTTATTAACAAGCGCTAACGACAAGCTTAACAAGGCAGCTTCAATCAACCGTTTAAATCAGGGTCGCACCGTTGGTCCAAATCGCATTGGTCCGAATCTCAATCGTCGGAATCCTAATGATCCGAGTAATCCATTGGTCCAAAAAAACAGTCAATCGAATCTAAATCAACAAAGTTGTGAGAATATCTTTACAAGAGAAATTACAAAAACGAAAACAAATCCAAAAATGAAAATTAAAGGAAACGATTTTTTCCAAAATTGCAATGAGAAGGACCATCGGCTGACACAAACAAACGTTTATCAGATCTTTGTCACTGTTTTTTCATGTAAAGTTCTGGAACACACAACAATTCCGTTTACTAGTCATTTTGGCTCATGTTGGTGTATTTTAGATAAACCTTTCGACCATACACAGTCTTCTGCAACTGCAAGGGAAGGCAAGCTTGTTTTATAAACGTACATAACATTTTCATATATTTCATCCCTCGTGAAATATTAGAAAGATACAAACCACACACTGTACAATGATTTATTCCATCCTCATTTCTAGCTAAAACTGAGAATTTGCCCATGTGTGCTGTTCCGATATCTGATGATTTTTAACTTTTAAGGTTCGACCAGACTATTGTCGATAACCATCAATTATAACATGCATATATGTAATGTTAGGTTAAAATATTAAAGATAAAGATTTAAGAGACATTTTTATGAGAATTTATGAATAATACCTACATAAAATATCAATATATTAACCATGGTGTCGTATGTTCATTGTCGTGTGTTGCATTGTTTATGAGTAAAGCTATCTCATTATAATATGTTACACAAAGTATACACTTCTATTATATGCTACATACATTTACTATATAATATATCACAGGGTGGTCCAAAAAAATTCGAACATTACATAAATGCATGTTGAAGAATTATTTCTTTACTAAAATACCATGGTACATCAACATTTTACTGAGCATAGTTCATCGTATGTACATCGGCTTTAAAGTTTATAAATGCAGCCTGCCATCTTAGTTGGTTCAACAAGTCAATGTATAACCCCACTTCTCCTGAATTACAAGTTTAAGCCCGGGACCCCATTTTGAAATAGTTCGTTCAATTTGTATTTTGCATCCACCAATATTGTCGCAATATGTAGTGATAACTTTGTTTAGTATCTAAAAGAAGTTTGCACTAACGCTAATTAAGCGCTCCTCACAACTGGGGTCCCAAACGCCGCCAAAGGGAAGGACTCTGCTTGCATTACACAGAGCTGTCAAGTGTCCCGCGAATGGCGGGATTATCCCGCGAATTCGATCAAAATTAGGCTAATTCGCGTGTCCCGCAATGTCCCGCGAAGTCCCGCAAATGTGGCTTTCGACCTCCGCGAATTTCCGAAATTGTTGCAATCCCCTATATTGTGATTATCTAATCTTATATAAGAAGCTAAGTTTTTGCACTTTTGAGGAGTAAAGTTTACCTAATTTTAAGTACCTAGCATGCTGTTGTTTGGTATCAAAATAATGAGGAAGGGTTCAACTTTAATTTTAATTACGACAATAGGGATGTAGGTCACAAATAGTGTGGCCTTCATCTCAGAACTGAGCAAATGTTAGCAAACGCGAGTTACAATAAATGGACGCTGATATCTAGAAAGGGTTTGTAGAAAAAACCGGGCACCGGGTAGTAAATCCTCCATGCTGGGTTCAAACTTGGTACCCGGTACCCCATCAAAAAACGGGTACCCAAAAACAAAAAATATACGAATATACGAGTATAACATAATTAGATTATCAGAAAACGTGTAAGATTTGTTTTGAATTTACAAAAATGTGTGTAACATCCTTCAAAATTGAGCTAGAAGCTTCAAATAAAAAGCATATTTTAAGGCTCTTTTCTTCCTCTATCGTCATGCCCATATTTTCATTGGTTATGGGGGGGGGGGTGCGATCGCACCCTCTCCTGGCTACGCCTATGACATTGTAAGACATAACAATTTAGTGGACAATTCAGTGGACATTTTGTCGACAGTTGGGATAACTTAAATTATGATTAATAATCAAAATCTTACACATTCACGGGGTACCATCGAATAATTTTGGCAACGTACCGGAGAACGACATTTTACTAAGAAATGGCAATAATTTAGCACAATATATTTTTTAACTAGAGTTCTACTTTGATTTTGACAAAAGTAAGTATTCCATGCAATGGCTATTTCATTCATGAGTTTGTAGGAATTCTGTTGGAACCCAGTTCTGATCAAGTACGAAGTTATTGAAATCGGCGCAGTCGGAATCTACTCCGAAAGATGGTTTTTCGATTATAACTTTTTACAACATTTAAGTATAGACTTTTGAAAAAAGTACAGAATAGTCCTTATACTATTGAATAATTCTGTTATTTCTGATTCACACGACTCCGATTTGTTTAATTAAAAAAAAAGTTTTAAAAATATTACTTAGGAACGTAACCGGAGCTGGGAACGTAACCGGAGCAGATCAGTTGAATTATATAATTTAAAAAAATAAAATATATGATTTAAAGCATATATATTATTTACAAACATATGAATGTTAAAATGAGCATTTATTACCCTTCACTTACAGGAAAATCAATGCATCGAAACAAAGATGGATAACAACTGGTTTTGCATAAAACAATAAACGGGCACTTACTCAAACACCTTACGTTTAAGCCTATATGGAGGGGGGGGGTTAGGTGAAGGATTTCAGAAAGCATAAGTTGAATCGAATTGGTCGAGCACATGACAAGTACTTAACACACTTACGCTATATACAGTTCGTTGTATCCTAACTTTTTTAATAATCTAGCATTTAAATGCTTTTATTTCCCCTGAAAAAGAGAAGTTGTCTAATAGAAGTATAATACATGTATGTATAAACAGTATATATATACGAAATTAGTATAACAGAGTGGGTTCTAATAGTTCGCTGAACAAATACAATGGGTGAAATCAAATGGAATTATTTGCTTACTACATTTAATCACTTTATTCTCCATACAATGATTGTTCTATGTTTGATAGCCTTTCTAAGGTAAGTGCACTTATGCATGGTAAATACCAAATTTAATTTTTCACAATGGATACATTTTTTTCTTTAAATAAAATGTAATAAATACGCATTCGAAAAATCCCGTATGTTTTTAAATTAGTATATGTGCTTTAAATCGTATATTTTAATTAAATAATTCAACTGATCTGCTCCGGTTACGTTCCCAGCTCCGGTTACGTTCCTAAGTAATATTTTTAAAACTTTTTTTTAATTAAACAAATCAGAGTCGTGTGTATCAGAAATAACAGAATTATTCAAAAGTATAAGGACTATTCTGTACTTTTTTCAAAAGTCTATACCTAAATGTTGTGAAAAGTTATAATCGAAAAACCATCTTTCGGAGTAAAGTCCGTCTGCGCCGATTTCAATAACTTCGTACTTGATCAGAACTGGGTTCCAACAGAATTCCTACAAACTCATGAATGAAATAGCCATTGCATGGAATACTTACTTTTGTCAAAATCAAAGTAGAACTCTAGTTAAAAAATATATTGTGCTAAATTATTGCCATTTCTTAGTAAAATGTCGTTCTCCGTTACGTTGCCAAAATTATTCGATGGTACCCCGTGACATTGCATCATGTAAATTAACACACGTCACCTCTCTGCTAAAGCAACGATAGCAATTTACAGATTTAAATCATAATCAAAACAATTCACGTACCAACATACGAACTATTGAAAATAGAGTAAAATTGATTTGCCTTGTTATTCAAATCGTCTTACAATGTCATTGGCGTAGCCAGGAGAGGGTGTGATGGTGCGATCGAACCCCCCCCCCTCCCACTTCATTACCAATGGAAATATGACAATGATGATAGAGGAAGAAAAGAGGCTTAAAATGCTTTTTATTTGAAGCTTCTATCTCAATTTTGAAGGAAGTTACATACATTTTTGTAAATTCAAAACAAATCTTACACGTTTTCTAATGATCTAATTATGTTGTATATTCGTATATTTCGTTTTTTGGGTACCCGATTTTTTCGACCGGGTACCAAGTTTGAACCCAGCATTGAGGATTTACTACCCGGTACCCGGTTTTTTCTACAAACCCTATCTAAAAAGTAACCTCATTCCCTATAATTTGATGTAGATTAATCGAAACCCTATTAGCTGGGCGGCCAAACCAAAATATGACGTCACGATTATCACTACGCGCCGGTGATTAAAAATTCTCGGCATACGTCCAGAATCCCCACTTCCCGAATAGATATTCTAATCCTGCAAAAACTACAGAATATTTACACTTTATACTTGGCAGAGACATAAAGTATAGTTTCTTTTTACGATTTAAATAGGTTTCGATCACGCAAACTTCAATATAAGTAGGGTAATTTGAACTTTCATTGCGAGAATTTTGAAGACCCCTTGAAACAATCGAATAAAAACACTAGTTCGGTAGGCAGTTTGAACTGTTGTTTTCGACTTGTAACATGTATTTTCAGATTTCAAGGTGTAACTTTATAAGTTATGACGTGAGTGGTCTATGTCCCTTCATATAAGTGTGTCTGGATCTATACTAGACAGATTCGCTGGACATTAAGTTGAAATGAGCTGTCCTTATCGGGGCTGACTCGATTTGGAATCAGCTGAATGGCGATTTTCCTTCTGACATTCGACGAGTTTAGTGAGCTCTTCAACCGATTTGTTCTTGGTAAATCGCTTGACCAACGAGATTAAAAGAAAGTCTATATCATATAGGTACTGCACATACCTTAAAACTGCATTATATATAACACGCGCGATTATTTGTATTTAATCGACTCTTTACCGTCTCCTGATGTCTATTCTAGAGTGAACTACATGTACTTGTCAAATACATTCCACAGGAGGTCAATGATACCGGTCACTGAGTACAGTGACCCAAAAGGCAAATTATAACATACCAATTACTATATCTAGTAGTACCCGGTTACCATCATTCTGATACTCATAGCATCTTTCTGTTTCACCTGAAACATGCTCTGATATTATGAGGCATATTCTGTGATCTGAGCAAATCAGATGGGAAAAGTTAAAACTATCAATAAGTGTGATTGTTATCATGTAATCATCTACCTTAATGTCAATACATTACATAATAGGCATTGAATTTAACAGCAGATATTACAACAGGCATAGTTACACAAGTTTAATGACCCCAATTACAGAGCTGTCAAGTGTCCCGCGAATGGCGGGATTATCCCGCGAATTCGATCAAAATTAGGCTAATTCGCGTGTCCCGCAATGTCCCGCGAAGTCCCGCAAATGTGGCTTTCGACCTCCGCGAATTTCCGAAATTGTTGCAATCCCCTATATGGTGATTATCTTATCTTATATAAGAAGCTTTTGCACTTTTGAGGAGTAAAGTTTACCTAATTTTAAGTACCTAGCATGCTGTTGTTTGGTATCAAAATAAAGAGGAAGGGT